CCCCCCCCCCCCCCCCCTCTTCCTCTACTCGGCCACGCGGTGTTGCCAAAAGCCGTTGCCACACAACTGGCGACCAACGACCGGTGACCGACGTGGCCAGCCAAGGCCCACCAGCCAGCCGAACGTGCGAAGAATCAGTTGCGGTGGCACACCAAGTCGCTGTCGCTCGTAGGAAACCGTAGCGATGCAGCAACAAAAAACGCCCGAGTAAATCCTGTAAATCCTGTAAGTCGCCAGGATCGGCTGAGACTATCAGTGTTGTTGAGTAGGGCCACGCCTTACAGGATATTGTAACGGCGTCGTTAGATTCTTTGCACTTTGTGCGTGGTCGAATGCTATCGGGTACGGCTGATTTTTTTGCTCTTTTGCGTGCTAGTATGATATCTGCTTATTAACGTTTTTGTTTCATGCCGGCAGTACCGTCCGAATGGCATCCATCAACGAATCTACATCAGTCGGCTTTCTCATGCCACAGCTAATGTGTAATAAAACTGAACACCATTGTACTCAGAATTGAACAAGAAACACGCCTTTTAGATTAAGTGTGTTGCATTTTTCGGGGAAATATAACCATTGACCTGCCATAATGAGATGAACTACTTACTAAGCAACACGCTAAGTACTGCTAATCGCGGAATCTCGTTGATCCCAGACTGCTGCTGTTGTTGTGTTTTTTGTTGTTGTTTTTTTTGATACGCTACCTTTCTTAGTTAGGAAACGTTAGGATGGTCGCATCCACCTTATCAGTAAAAAACCCGAAATCAGAGCGAGGGTCAAGCTATTAAATTGTCAGTCCGGCTTTGGTCATAACTCGTGCCATTACCCTAATCCCTGTATCATATAGATCAAAATGTAATTTGTGTTTGAAAGTTGGACTCCATGTATCAAAATGGCCGACCGCTGATGCCCCGAGTCTTGTTCTCGTTCGCCAGACATGAACAATGCGATGATCATATTATATTGGCCTTGAGCACCGCATTGCCAATGGAATGGCAAGGATTTGGTTGACGTTTGCATAGCGTCATGAATGTCGGAGTGACTTTAAAACTGTCTGCACTTTATAGTCTGCACAGGTACGCGGGCGTCAGGCCCAAAACAAAAGGGTTTTGAACCTTAAGAAAGGTGTAATGCGAGGCTTACATTTTGACTACCACCTCGTGTGCATCTATTTTTGTTTATATCATTCCTATTGCATCCTCCCTTGTTTTCTCCCCCTCCCCCTCCCCTTCCGGTTACGGTTCCTGCTCTGCAAGTCAACTGGGACGCTGCCTGGAGCAGGTACAAAGCGATGGTTCGGCGGGCCGCGCAGGACGTGCGCGCGCACAGGTCGCGACCCTGTCGACAACACCGGATCGCCGGCGAAACTGCGTCCAACGACCACATGCGAAAAAGGATGTCCGGGACAGGAACCGGGGAGCTGGGTATCCGGTGGAGACGGGCCATGCTGCTCGCGTTCGCGCTGCACCGGGGTCCAAGGACCGCCGCAGGACGGCCAAGAAGGGTCCATGCAGAGCAGAGCAGCAGAGTAGAGCAGAGCAAGCTAACACGACCTAACAACCTAACACTAACTGCCCCACGGGCAGGCTCAAGTCCGAGCCCGAGCCCGAGCCAACCAGTACGGAGTGGCCACCATGGCAAAAAACAAAACCCAGGGCCAGATATCACCGAGCGGCACGCCGACAATCGCTAACCGAGGCCCCTGAGCCAAGAAAGAGCGCACGCAAAACGGACCTGAACGTGAGCACGAATGGAAACGCACGTAACTGATGACAGAAGCCTGAGAGAAGGGGCTGGTGAAACAAAACCCGCGGAAGCGTCACATTCAAGAGAACCCTCACGAGGACAAGCACTGACTCAGCGGGGCGGGAGGCAGGCTCGGGCGCCCTCAGTGGACGGGGAAGGCCTGTGCTCGACCACCGCAACCACCAAATGTGAACGGAGAATCTGGGACAGTCAGCGAGCGTTGCGTCTACCCTCCGTTTCGTCTCTCTTCGCTCATGACTCGTCACCTCCCTCCCCTCTGTCGCCTGTTGCCTCAGTCAAGACTCGAATTGGGTGCGAGAGTCCTGCTGTGTAATTGCCAGTTTAAGGGCAAACTAACCAGATAAGATGGGGTTGCCACGGGCCGGGTGAGAACACGCATGCGCGCCGGGATCACGCGTCGGGGCCACACGTCAGGCAGGTGACATTATAGGTTAGGTTGGGTCATTAGGTGAGAGGACAATCGCGGAGCGAAAAAGAAAAAACAAGACACGCACCCCATTGTAACGCTACAAGAGCATAGCTGTGAACCGCAATGAGTGATCTTCAAAATGGCTATCTCAGTTCAAACCAAACATAAATGGGACTACTGCGCGATCAGGTGGAGATCAATTTACCCCCCCCCCCCCCCCCTCCCGAACGTTTATAAAACATGACTTGCAAACGGTAAAGCACAGCCACGCTACACATTGTATAGCTGTAGGCAATTAAATAGCCCATATCTTGTATTAAGAAATTA